ATAGTTTCTCACATGACTCAAAGTATCCTCATAAAAAATTTCAAGCCTTACATCATAAGTTTGCTCAATCAATTAGCCAGATGATTGAAAATTAACTATATTGGACAAAAAGTCAACTTTGACCAATCTGCAGCCAAACTTCAAGACTTTTGGTCAACATCAACATTTTGAACTCATATTCACCATTTTGTCAAGGTTTGATCATGATTCATCAAGAAAACTCAAGATTCATAAAAAGTCAAAACTTACTAAATTAGGGTTTTCTTAATGAGAAGTCAACTGAATTTTGACCAAGCACAACTTTCACATACTTCATCAGAAATTACTTAACCAAATCCTATCTTTAAGGAAATTCAATTCTCTAGAACTTTGACTCTCTAAGCTCAAGGCAAAAAATGCTTCATTTGAGAGATATGGGTCAAAACGTTACAGGGCATTTTAAAAGTCAACAAAAAGACATCTTTTGTCAAAGCAATTTACATCAACTTAAAGACTTCAATTGAAAAAATTACCAACATAAAAGTTGTAGGAGACATCTTGAGCTTTCCAAAGAATCTAAGATCACATTCATATGATAAAAATTGTGAGAGTTATGAGTTGTGTAAGTTGAGAAATTTTTGAGAAATGCATGAAACCTAAATTGATCAATTTTGAACTTTTGGACTAATGGGCCTAACTTTTGAAGTTTAAACATGTTTATAACATGTTATAGGACCTCTAAGTCCATCCATGCGTAGCCTTCATTTTTTATTTTATTTTAATTTTATTCACATATTTTTAAGATAAATCAAATAAATTGTCAAGATGATGGACCAAGGCGCAAGGCTGTTGTTTTGGATCAGATTTGAAGCCCACAAAGCTCATAACCAGCTAGCAAAATCGTGTGGGATCTTGAATATGTGATTTGGACTAAAATAGAAGCTTTTCATGCAAAATTCAAATCAAATCTATTCACCATGAATTACAAGGATTCATCTCACAAATGTTGACCTAATCTTCTCTCCTATAAATATGCAACATATTCAGACAAAAAAAAACATGCATGCTGCCTCAAGAATAAACCCTAAAAATATCAAATTTTTCAAGAACTAGGGCAAACTCAAACCCTTATCTCGAACCGTTTTCAGTCTATTCCAATCGTCAATCAAGCTTCCTGAAGAATCCAGGAACTTATTCCAATCATCCCTGAAGCTCATAGCATTCCAGACTATCACAACCAAGCATCACTGGTTTGGTAACATTCTTGAATTTCAAACTTTTAATTGATGCAATTTAAACGAATTTGATGCATACATTCATGTTCATATTGATGTGTGGAACTTTTTGATGCATAGTTTGCAAGCTTTGACGCAGGAATAAAGATCTGCCATTGTTAGGGAAGTTTGAAACATTTTATTCGAAACTCACTCTACATGCATTTTCAGGTCAAACCAATGCCACCATTGGATTCACAAGGGTCAAACTAGGGGGATAGGGTTCATCTTGTGTTTTGATTTTGCATGATTCGCAAGTTCTCGAAATCTCCTCATCGGAGAAGATGCAGTTGACCACCCTCCACGGTGGTTTGACCCTCCTGACTCAGGTGGCCTAGGTGTGGCACGTGCCCATTGGTTGATTCAAAAAAACTTGACCCCACCATAATATGCATCTTCTGATTTTATTTTAATTTGATTTCTTGATTTCAATTTATATTATATTGAATAATGATGATTATACTAACGCGAAACAATAATTGGCTTGATGATAAGAAGCGTGACTGGTATTGTAAAGGGCGTGGGGTTTGATCTCAACTTTTGTCAATTTCTTTTATTTTTCAGGATAGCGCGCAAGTTTATAATAGATTGATTCATTCATATTCCATATCACAAACAACACTATGGCGCAGTGGTAGAAGGGCATACTGGTGAAAGGAAGGGCGTGGGTTCAAGTCTCACCCTATGCATTTTTGTTTTCCTTATTTTCTAACCTAATTTTCATTTTATTTTACTAATTATTTTCTAATTAATCTATTTTCTAACCTTAAACTTCTTTTTCAAAATTATAACAAATTAGGATTAGGATTTTCTAGTTAGTAAATAATTTTTTGACATATTTTTCATTTATTAATTAATTGAGTTAATTAGCTTTTTTCTAAATATTAAAATTAGTTAAAAATAATTAAGTTTTAATTACTATTTATTAACTTAAATTATTTTCAACAAAAAACACAAAAAAAAACATTTAACATTTTTCAAACATTCTTTTTTCTCATCTTTTACTATTTAAATTCATATAAAAGCTATGTAGGTCGCACTCCCAGATGTAATAGCGTAGATTTATTTTATCACGTCTTTTCCTATTATGTAACTGCTCACATGATGTAATAGCTTAGGTTTAATTTTCCATACTTTGCATTCCACACATTATATTTTTAACTGTTAGTAATTAGGGTTTGCATGAAAAGACTAACAATTGGACATAGAAAACCTAATTTGCAAGATTAAATAACTGAAACTAATACACTTTGCACACTTCACCTCTAGGGTAACCTCTCTTGTTGCCTTACGTATATTGGTCATGTCCCTCGAAAGTGGGGATATTTTAGCAAAATACCCTTGATATAATCATCATAATCCCTATGATACAAAAGATCATAGTCCCTCGATGACCCTCCAAGTTGCCTACAAAATGATTTAGTCCCTTCGATGATCCTACGAGCAAAATGATGATAGTCCCTTCGATATAATTGTTAAAGTATCCTTACATGTTGTCTTTGATTACTATACAATGACCCTACGCCTGTTCCTTCACATCCAATGGATAAGATTATCTATCAACTAATGGTATGGATAATACTATCTTCAAAGGAGAAGGAAAATAACAAGAAAGACATTAGTTGATAGAACTCTTGAATGCTTGCTCACAAATAAATACATTTTCACACTACACTTTCAAACAAATATTTTCAAAAATACTTTATATACATTCTTGAGGACTGATACAAGAATTATTACAAAGTTAGCCTTACATTGGCATTTCAAAATATTTTCAACACAAATAACACACGCACAAAGCAAGTTTTAAGTGAGCTAAGTAATTAAGAGTCTGTAGATAACTACGGATGAAAAAGGTGTTAACACCTTCCCTTGTTATAACTTACCCCCCGAACTCAAAATCTACCAAAGGTCTTTCCTGTTCTTTTCACCTTTCCTAAATATTGGATAAAAGAAAAGTCGGTGGCGACTCTTATTAACCGCAATATTTAGGATAAAACCAAAAAGTCAATTCTCCTACCGTATTACAGTAGGGATTAAGTGAGAAGTTGTAAATTGGGATTGTTTAGGCTTTAAATCGATACTAATATAATAATGGATTTCCTTCCTGACTTTGTAGCCCCCAGATGTAGGTGAGTTGCACTGTACTGAGTTAATAATTGATTGTGTTCTTTAAGTTTCTGCAGTTTACTTTTCTGCACAATCTTTCTATTTTCAACATGTCTATTTTTCTGTCAGCAGATGTTATAACATTTGTCGTGACATTGTGCGTTGTTAAGACATCAGTCCTGAATTCTATTATTACAATGCCAGAATTTCAAAGACATCCTCCTTTCATATTTCATTTGATGAGATAAAGATTACTAAGAAATAATGTGAGGTTGCTTTAAAGTCAGTGTAACAAATAGTAAATCAGTTTCTAATCATAGATGATGCCAACCTTTATCAAAAGCAATTTTGATGGCTAAACTAGTTTTCATTAACTCAACATGAAGAATAAAGAGAATATCAATATTAAAAGCAAGAGTAAGGTAATAGTTTATATCCTTCTTTAAGTTGTCCAAAGCTATATTTAAGGTGTTAGTTAGTCTACAACGCGAATTCTTATTGGGTGGTGGCTTGGATAAACATGGGGTGTCTTGGGAGATGGATCTCTCCTATGTAAATAAAGATGGAGACTCATAAACCATGAAGAAACATTAGGGCGTCAATTGCTTCAAAGGAGATATGGTGATTTGGTATGGAGTGTTTTGGGTGGTCGAAACAATGTTAATTCAAAAGAATTTTCTTTGTGGTGGAGGGATATCAAAAACATTGCTGGAATAGAGGACACCACTAGGGATTAGTTTTTGTGTTGGGTATCATGCAGGCTTGGCATGTGGGATATGATACTCTCTTAGAAAAGCAATTGGATAGGTGTGACTCCTCTAATGCAACTTTGTCCACTATTTTTTTCCTCCTCTCTTTGTCTGAATGCTACGGTTAGAGAGATGGGAGAGTTTTCTAATGATGTTTGGCAGTGGCATTTCAAAGGAGAGTTTGTGTCTTTATCAGGTTTGCATGTCATACAGTTGCAAAAGCTCGTTGGTGTTTTTTTTTTCATGTTGCCCCTTCCATGACTTCGGTGGACAGTTTTGCTTGTAGTGTAGACAAACAATTGCTTAAAATAATATTTTCCATTTGATGACAAATTAAGTTTGCAAAATAAAAAACAATAAAGCAAAGATATTGATCACCATTATTTAAACTTCCCCATTAGATGCTCTTATCCTCTTTGTGATGGCACATTTATTATTATTATTATTAATTTATAACTTTTTAGCTAAAATAAGTTTCATGATAACAACATAGTCAAAATAAGAATTTGGGCCAAGAAAGGAATATTAACCTTTCTAATTTTATATTACCTTGTGAGAGTGGACTTTCCTAATTATATACTTAAAAACTCACATAAAGCATCGAGTGATAGTACTATGTTTACACTTTACAATAGCATTAAAGTTTGAAAATAACACGTTGAACTAAAAGTAATTTAAGAATCACTTCAGACACTAACTCTTATCTATATACACATAAAGTGACACACTCATATGAAGAAACTATAAATATAAGTTATCCAATTTATTGGAATATATGATCACATCACATGAACCATAGAAATTCAAGTGGTCCATGTTTAGTAAAGAGGAATCATAATCATAATAATAATAATAATAATAATACAATTAAACAAGTTAATTAAAGTCTCTATTTAAGCTTTAAACCTTGAGAAAACCAATGTGGAACCTTTTTATCTTGATCAAATGTAACACTAGAGCTGCTCATTGGTGTGGTAGGGTCACTACAATCTCCAATTCTATCTGATTGAAAAGAGACATAAGAATTTGGTAATGGAAGCAAGTTATAAGACTTTTTCTTCTTATTCTTTGTTTGGTTGCTTCCTCCTATACATAAAGTTAAATCCACTTCCATATCTTCTTCATCACAATCACTTGCTGCTGGCTTTTCAAGATCAAAATCAGTTTCTCTTTTTTTTATTATTATATCTCCTGAATTGCTTCCACTTCTTTCCTTTATCATTAAATCCTCTTTCAAAATTTGGACATGGCTAAATGAAATTTGTGTTGGTTGTTGAACAAAATAAGGTTGGTTTATACCTATAGGGCTCCAAAATTTATTTTGATTGGTTTGATTTTTGTGCTCATCCATTAGCATCTTTTGCACATTGTATACTCTATGAAGTTCCTTTACCTACAAATTTACAGATACTAATTAATAAAATTTTCAATTAATAACAACTTCAACCCAACCGCAATTGCAGTCACAATATAACAGACTTAGGTGTCTTTGTATCAATCCTAATAATTGTTGCATCAACCCGATTGCAATCGTAATTTAAAACATGTGTTTCATTTTATTATAAATTGAAAGAAAACTTGAATTTTGTATTGTTAACAAGGTTTTAAAATACGGCCGCGATAAAAAAAATACGACCGCAATAAACAGTATCAAAAAATGTCAATAGTAATACTATTAATCACCACTTTTATGATAAAGAACAAATTGTAATTAATTCATATTACGAAAATACAATCAGTATTGCAACACCTGTATTAACTGATATCGCAGAAGTCTTAACGCGACCACTTGCGTTATTTAAGATGAGAGTTTTGCAAGATAGAGAAAACAACAATAACATGATACCTGATTTTTGAAGATGTCTTCATGCATCTGCATTGTCTTTTTGATAGATTCTATGTTGTTTCTGTTAAGCTTCTTGTCCATTGGATCTTGCAAACTATTAACTCCAATACTACAATGATTGTTAATCACTTTCACTTCTTTGTTCTGATAATGTTCCCTGGCATCAACACCACTCAAAGTGAAGTTGTTGCAATCTACTGAGTATGTTAGTGGATTTACGGAATATTCAATTTTTGTTCCCATTCCTGAAAAATAAATCAATACTTATAAACTTGTTTGTCATCTTATCATAATTAGTAACACAGAAACGAATATCAGACACTATACTGATGCACCGACTCTGATAATAATTTGAAAAATTAAAGTAATTGAATGTAATTATATATCTCATTGATATTTGTATATGTGTTGGTGCTTCAGACGCTAATTTAATAAAAAAATTGTAAATTACACCAACACACGACACTAATATTAACAGATGTCTGACATCAAACACGTGTTTCATCTGAAGGATTTTTTTTTTCCAATCCAACCAACATGAATTCAAAACATGATCTGATAATTTTATTTTTTGCAAGATTTTGTAGCTACTTTTTGAATGCGTAGATTAAAGCCATATATAGAAACTGTACTGTACTAGTTTGTTGTATGTTGTATGATTAAATTTGTCAAAACAGAGAAAACTTTCCTAAACCAAAAGTAGATGAAGAAGTACTAGAGATAATTTTCTTAGAAAATGGTTCAAAAGTGAAAACCAAATATTTCCAGAAACTTTGATGTTGAATGAAAAAAAAAAAGTTTCAATTTCTCCTTTGTAGTTCTCATAAAGCAAATCTCAAAGTAAAAAGAAAAAGTTCATAATTATCTAACTTTTCTAAGAACAACAAAATAAAAATAAAAATAAAAAATAAAGTTGATGTAAAATCAAAGATCATCATTACCTGTTGTAAGAAGAAGCAAAAGTGAAGGTTTGTATGATGAAGTTCATTGAACATGTTCTTCCATAAAGTTAGTAATATAAAAGGTGTGTGAGTAGTATTTTTATGGTTTTTGTTGAATCATGGTTGGAGAAAAGAATAGATTAAAGGACGGATGAATCCAAGCAGTGCATGAACATCTGGAGAGTTTGGAGAAAAGTCATATAGACAGCATGAAGACACTTGGCAGTTGAAATAAGGTTTTTGGTTTGAAACAAGAAGAATTAGAAAAATGGAATAATGATGTTGTTGTTGAGTTAATAATTTAGGTTTTGACAGGCTGTGAAGGAAGGAAGGAGGCAAAGGCAAAAGCTGGAGGAGCAATGTGTTTGTATATATGTTTGAGAGTATGAATGGTTTTGTGTGTGTGAGAAAGAGATATGTTATTATAATATAGTATGTATAGTATGTATATGAAGATATTGTATTTCTAACATATGCTTTAGTTTATGAGTTTAATGAGGAATATATATACACACTTTAAAGTAATTTGCATCTATATGCACAATCACATCTCAATGTCATGTTTTTGGAAGTAATCAAACAAAGCATTATCTACAAGATAATAGAATAGCCCCCAACTATTTCAATTTGATCTGATCTATTTAATAAAATAATTTCAATTTCAATTTTTTTAAAAGTCTATTTAATTGAATAGATGAGATTTATTCTTCTATAAAAGTTTATGAAGTTTATATATCAATTTATGTATTTATATTTATTAGAAAATAAGTTAAATAATATATAAAAAGCTACATTATTTATGTAGAAAAAATAAAATCGACTATTTAAAAATCTTAATGTGAAATAGATTTTTAAATAGGCTTTTAAGTTATATTACACTATAAAAATGTTAGGCCATGTCAAAAAAGAAGTATATAATAGATTATAGATCAGACTCGAATCTTAAAAATTTATCATAGATCAGGTTCAGGCTTTCTAAAATTTGACCTGGCCTATTCTCACTAGGGATGGAAAACAGACTTGATACGCCAGACATGTCCGTTCTACTCGCTTTTTTTTTTGCAGGGAGGGTCAAGGATTTTGCCTCGCACCATCTAATATGTCTTCCTCGTTCCATTTTTTACGGGCTTTTGCGGCCACATGTATTAACATACATTTTTGTAATTTTTAAATTAAAAATTTGTAGTGTTCGCAAGTCAGTTCCACCCACTTTTATTTTTTCGTGGGATGGAACAGATTTTAGGCTCGCGCCCTCAATAATGTATGTCCTACTCCACCCTATTTTCTTGTGAATTTTTGCTGAGTGGGGACATAAATGACCTATTTATCATTCCTAATTGTTACTCTTATTAATAATTAAATTTGATTTGATGTTTTAGATGTCTCAATTAAGAGGAGTCATGAAAAGAACCGGCTCAAATCTCTACAAATTTCTTTTTTAAATGGTAAAATTATATCAGAGATCTTTTAAGTTATTTTTGTATAATATATTGATTATTTAAGTTTTTTGTAACAACTTGATCTTTTAAGTTATCAAACGAGTGTATTATTACCTTTTTTAATACAGTGAAGGTGCTAATTGTTGATACAAATATTTTGAAAGATATGAAGATGATAAAGTACAATAGAGAATACAACAGTCACACATTTTTAAATGTTCAAAATTTACAAAAATATAATATAAAAATCATCATAAAAGAACAAGTTGCTAAAAAAAATTTAAAGGATCAATCTGTTAAAAGATATAAATTAAAAAAACTTTTGTGAAATTTTGTTTTTTCAAATCATACGGATAACAGAATATAAAATAAGGATGTTAAATATATACCATTTGATTTCACAGTTGGGTCAAATATGTTTATGTATGCGACTATATACACTGGCGGAATCATGGAAAAAAAATGGGATGGGCGACTAAAATAAATTGTAATATTTAAATTAAATACAAAAATTATATTGGATTTAAAGATTTAAGCCGTAATAAGTTCAAAGTTGATTACTAGAAAAAAATATATACCTTAAAATAATACTCTACCTATATTGGTCTTGAAATCATCAATAATAGAATATTAACTAATACTTGTACTAATTTCTCTATCAATATAAACAGTCATGCTATCTGCTAGAAACCGATCTTTTATCTTATTTCGTAACTTAGTCTTGATAATTTTCATTATCAAAAAAGATCTCTTTGTTGTGACAGTAGAAAATGGAAGAGTCAGGATAAGACGGAGTAGTCTGTCAATCAAGACGTAAATTTTATTCCGGTTAGTTGCAACCAAACACGAGCATAATTTTTGAATAATTGATCAATTCTTCAAATTTGTTGATTGACGGGCATCAACAAGAAATTGCCGAAGATGATTTTGCAAAGTAATTTTCTCTTACTCATTGAAATTCAATAAGATAATATTTTTCAACTAGAGTGTAAATAGTATCAATGTCAAAAGCTTTATAACTACCCTTAGGATTCAAAGCACAACTTAGAATTAATAAATTCATTGCTCGCTCACTAAATCAACATTAGGAATTTCAATATCATATCTCACACAATAAGACATCACATTAACATATAACTTATCCCAACCATTTTCTCTCAGCTCTTAAATAAGAGTTTTTGTTGCGAGAACTAAAATCATACCATTAATCACATTCTGATATTGTTGTTGTATAGCTTGACAAAGCACATATATTAACCCCATAATTTCTTTCATCAAATGCAAGATCAATATAAAATCAAATTCTTTCAAATAATTGTAACCACTATCACCATCCCACATGTATTATAATTTTCTCCTTCATTTGATAATATTTTTAAAATACGACAAGTTGTTTCATACATATTCATCAAGCTACAAATAGAATTCAATATGACCCCCAACGAGTGGTCCCAACTCATTTCAAAGTACCAATTTTATTTTCACCTTTACCAGTAATGATCTCATCAATCTCCGACAATTGTTCAATTTCTTTTAATTGGACTTCTTGCAACTCATCATGTCGCTTTGGTGAAGAACAAACAACATTAACCATATAAGTTAGCTTTTCAAAGAATTTATCTATTGGTTGATTTCTCTTGAAGCGTAACTAAAGCAAGTTGCAATCGATGAGCAAAACAATGGACGTAGTATGCATAAGAACAATCCTTCATAAATAGTGCTTGTAAACCATTTCATTCTCCTCTCATATTGCTTGCACCATCATATTCTTGGCTAAGAAGGCTAAAACCATCAAGGTTATGTCGAGATAGTATATCTCATACTTTTTTCTTAAGAGTTAATGTCGTCGTGTCATTCACATGTGCCACATAAAAAAACTGCTCTTATATTAAACCAAATTTATCAACAAATCCCAACACAAGAGCTATTTATTCCTTTTGTTAACTCATCACGAGCTTCATCTACAAGGATACGAAATTTAGAATCACCAATTTCTTCGTGAATATGCCTCATAACCCGACTTGCAATAATTTCCAATAGCTCTTTTTGAATTTTATGTGAAGTATATTTTCCATTTTGTGGAGCATTATCCAACACAACTCTTGCCACTTCATCATTATAAGATTCCAAGAGTTTTACCAACACAAGAAAATTACCTTGATTTTCTGACTCGCTAGATTCATCATGCCTCCTAAAAGCACAAGCTTGAAGTGCCAACCAACGAACATTGTCAATTGAAGTCTTGAGACATAATCGATTCTTCTTTCTTTGACTTGAGCTTTGTTTTTGGAAAACATTCTCAATATATTCCTCTTTATTCAACAAGTATTGATAAGCTTCCATTGCATTATTGTGTACCGAGCAAAGATCCTTGCCTATATGCTTAAGAAAAGCACAATTATTTTCATCTCTCACTCTTTTCCAACCTCTAAAACTTGTAGTGATAAAGGCATCAGATTCAGAAGGTGAATATGCGACATGAATAAAGATAACATGGAAAGCAATACGCGACATCCTTTTAAGGTGAATATTCTAGCCATGAATAAAAGATTTCAAACCAACTTTCTTGAAACTGTCTTCGATTATCCTCTTTACCGGACAAAGGATATTCTTCTAAACGGATTTGATATAGACTTCATTTCATATAAGTTCTCTGTATTTGATCGATTTGATTTGGCGAATATTTCCATATTGGAGGACGCTTTCCAGGATCATGTTCTAAAAAATTCAAAATATCACCTGAAACTTCAAGTGATTGAGGAATAATTATTGTTACTTCTTCAATTGGTGGAACTTCAAACCGTTGAAGAGTAGCAGTTGTCATTTCTTTAAGTGGTGGAACTTTAACTGGTTAGGACATAGAACTTATCACTTCTTTGATTCTTAAAACTTTAACAAATTCCGATATAGAAGAATTTTCACAAAATTTACTCTTAAAAATATTAATTTTTCCATTCTTCATCTTTATTTCTTCTGTTTTACAAGAAATCAACCACAATAAAAACTTGTTATTATATCATAAAAATACAAGTTAATAATAAAAACACAAAACATAAACAATGACAATCAAACTTGTTGTTATAACGTATAAGTTTAACAAACCGAAAATTCTAACTTTTCATTTTATCAACCCTGAAAAATAAAGTATTTAAACTAATTTTATTTAATTTTAAAAACGTAGATTCATATTTTTACTTGAATCCAAGGTCTCAAATTCAATTTTTGTTAGGTGCTAACAAATCTTCATTTGAATTCATATATAAATTTACTCTAACTAAAGGAACTTGTATATAGAAGATAATAATGATCTTTCAAATTATTGTAGTAGAGTCCACCATTGAATTAAAAAATAATAATAAATATCATTTTAAAAATTGAACCGAATATCAAATCATTGAAGATATTAAGTTAGTGATTTATTGGTCGAATCATTGAATCACTAGTTAAACCGCATGATTAAGTTAAATTAAATAAGATAATTCGGTTAAATAAATCGATCTCTATAACAAAATTAAATAGTTGTTAAATTAGTCGAACCGCATGGTTCGATCTTTAAAAAAATCATGACATCTAAAAATTTTCAAAATATCAAATTATCATAATTTCACAAATTCATTCTTTAAATTTAAGTTCTAAATATTGTCATCACACTCAACAAAATAATACAAAATATAAATTCAAATAAATTTTGAACAAAATCTAATTACAGTATAACAAAATAACTTATCTAATAAATTTAACTATAAAGAAGAAAATTGTTCCACATAAATTTTGAATAAAATATATTTATATTTTAATTTTATTTTTAAAAAATAAATTATCATAATTTTGTTTAAAGAAAAAATACAATCAATCTTTTAGTTTTTCAAAACCGCTGATTCTCCCGTTTTTATTGATTCTAACCAATTCACGTCGATTTAATATTAATTTCAATTTAATAATTTAATCAGATGGGCTATTCATTCAATTCCTGATCCAACTCATTCGACCGATCGTTTCGGTTCGATTTTTAAAACCCAGTGATAAGTAATTTTGT